ATTGGAATAAAAAAAAGCTTATTATTATAAATTAGACACGCAAAACTATGATTATATTTTGTAGTGAATTTAACGCAAAGATGAAAATGAGATTGAATAAATTTTGGAATTTTACTTATATTATATTTGCATGATGTCATATCTCCGTAAGATGAGTTTCATTATTTGTTCAGCCAATGACGAGCTAAAGTTTGAAATGCAGTAGCATGAAGTGGAACTCATTCTTTTCCGCTTGTTTTAACCTTTTTAGGGTCATAAAAGAACAAAAGACCTGCGTCTTGATGCAAAGAAAAAAAAAAGGAAGAGAAAATAAATAATTGGCCCTACTCTGTTTTTAGTTGATGAGATGGTTCGTGTAAAGTTTACCAGACTCCCCACCTTTAAGTTTTTCGTCTTGTTTCACCAAAACTGGTAAAATCTTCAAAATAAAAGTTAGACACTTACTATATCTTCAAGCATATCTTCAGCGCTCTCTCCTATTGGGTATTCTTTTATTAAAAATAAAAAATTTGCGTGACATTAAATCATAAAAGAAGTGATACAATAAATATAATTATGCAATTTTTTTTATCTTAATAAGTAATGCATCAAATTTTCAGTATTACCATAATATCAAAACATATCTTCCTTATTCTTCATTTACTTTCTCTCTTGGTTAAAAAATTCCAAGAATCAACTCTAAACTCACTTGCCCATTTGAGCATTAGTCAGATCAACTTGCAATGAATCTTTAATCCCTTGATTAGTTCTTTTAAAATCGGTAATTTACTTTTGACCTTAACGGGACGTTTGATAGCCGATATTTTTCAGCATTTTCAGGAAATTAAATTTTTTTAAATTTTTAATTTTCGAATATTATTGTAAACTGAATATTTTCATCATATTTTTGAAAATTAAAATTTTCGGGTAAAAAAAAATTTCTCTTCTACGAAACTCCTCCCTAAAGGTGAATTCAATTACACACTTTGCCAAGAATTTTGGGTTAAAGAAACAAACAGAAGGTAAAAGTAAAACTAATATAGAGGTACATGCATATATGTGTTATGGCATTTCAATCCTTTCAAACTTTTCAGAAGAGAGTTGTACTAGCCATATCCACTATTTTTGCAGAGATCAGCCTTTGTTGAACATGACCACTCTACAACCTCCCCTTGTTTAAAGGCTGACCAAATGAAAGATTCATTGGCATTCATATCAATCTGCTTTCACCTTTGCATACACAAAATACACACGTCACAACACACATAATACTAAGCTCTGTGGAGAAAAAATATATATAATAAGGAAATACTTTTCTTATGTTGTAGGAAAATAGTTACCTCATGTTGTAGAAATAAAATTACAAGTGGGACCCACAGGTAAGAAGAGAGAGAAAAAAGAGTGGTGGGACCCAACCCTTTTTTGTGTATGTAGGAAAATTGTTTATCTCATGTAAAATGAGATAAACATAACCCTATATAATAACCGACAAGAACAATTGAATAATATTATTATCTTTTTCTTCGCTCATAAATCTCTCTAACTCTTACCTCTCACCCAAAACATGCCCATATGTGTATCTGTTACTTCTCTTCCCTTCCCGATGCAAAAGGCTAATGAAGGCCCCAAATTAATACTAAAAAGAAAAACGTTCTCGTTTCTGTGAAAGGGAACATCATGTCACACACCCTTCCTTCTGTAGGACTAATCTATATTACTGTTTGCAATTAATTAACAATTACTCTGTATTTTTTTTTTTTTTCAAAAGGTTGAAAAGGATACGAAAAAAAAAACAGAAGAGAAACTTGCATCCATATTGGAAAAATTTAAACTATACTCACACAAGTGTTGAACCAAATTGATGCAAAAGGCACTGTTTTAAATTGTATATGCTGTGGACATTTCTGGGCGTATATGATGCATGCCTGATGTAAGCCATGGGAGCCAAACATATTCCGCATGGAAAAATTTAATATACGTGTTCTTGAAAAATTATTTTATTTTTTCTCAAAAATTATCAGTTGACGTGGAGAAAAAAAAAACTTTAATATTTATACTATGTACTTTTAAAAATACATAATATAAGCACTAAACACTCTCTGTCAGTAATACCAAAAATGCTCTCGTGCCCCCATTTTGTTGAATAATAATTACTATTACCTGCTGCTAATTTTTCACAAGCTATAACTAGAATTTTATATGATTATAAATATTTTTTTTTTTTAATCTTAGTGTCTCCTAATTTTTCAAAAAATAAAATAAATTGATACTGAATTTATCATCTGTGCGACTGAGTAAAAATGCTCACGCTTAACTCGTGTTTTTTTTTTTTTTCATCTTCTATTTAAGTGGTAGAGTACGACCTATTTTTAACCAGAAAGAAATGTGCAATTTATATTTCTACCAAAAGAAGAGACAATCTTAATTATAGATTCATTTTTTAAAAAAACTTGATTAATTGGGAAAAAGAAAGTCTTTGTGCGTTTTTCCAAATTCTCCTCTTCTGCGCATTTCCTAATGAAATTCAATGAAATCAAATATTCTCATAAAACGGACCATAACGTATCCAATCAAATAAACCCCATGTGTTTTATAGATATTATATGCTTGGTCATCTTACTATTTTTGTTTTCTAGAAAACAAGAGAATGATGCTTATTCTCCACTTCTAGAGAAAACCAGAATATATGTACCCACTGAAAAATGTATGAGGATTATAAATGGGGCATAATCTATCAAGAAATTAATAAAAGTAACTGGCCAGTGGAATAAGAATAAGCTCGAAATTCAGGTATCTATTTTTTGATATATAGTCATATTTTGATACCTAAGGAAGATTGTGATTGATGATCGAATATATCTTCAGTTGACAAGTTCTTGTAATCCCCATGAGTTATTCTCAGCTAAAGTTGATTAAATTGAATGCAGAAAGCAGAAGCCGCCCATATAAAAGAATAACAGATTATTCAGGCATATATATACTAATACTAGTACAGTAGTACTAATGTATTTCCTATAAGCAAGAATGGGAATTTGAGGATCTTGGTTGATATGGCTAACATAAGGCGACATGCAATAAGTGGGGCACTCTTTTCCTTTCAATCTGATCTTCTTCACAACTTTTGAATTATCCATTTGTCAAAACTTTAATTATAGCGGTAATTATGAATTCAAATTAAGAAGATTATGGTGAAAAAGAAATTAGGAAGTTTTTTTCCCTCTAAAAAAATAGTTATAAAAAATTTAAAAAGATTAAAACGCAAATCATTAAATTTGTGTAAATTTGTTAAATTCTTTCAATGTTGTATTAAACTATTTGTTTATTACTTTCATAAAAAAACAGTGATGTAGAATGATTTATATAATCGAGTAAAATAAGACTTAATTAAAATATTTTGGATATTAATAATATTAAATTTGTACAATTATTAATAAATTATAACATGCGTTACTGTTGTTAAAAAATGAATTTATTTTACTTGCAATTCATGTTATATAGCTAACTGAATTGTGTTAGATGTATATAAACACAACTCACATAATCATCGTTATATTTATTTTTTTCTTTTTCTCTATCTCATGTGTGTAGAAAATTTATATGTTACTATGTTAGTTGCATAACGCATATAAAAAGCAATTTATATATAACTCTCATAAACCAATCGTTATTATTTTTATTTTTAAAAAAAAGCTTATTGCATATTTTGAAGAAACACATGATCGCTTTATATTTAAGGGAATGTAAGTAATGAAATTAAAATTAAAATATAAATACACAAAAAATTACATAAGATTAACTATAATTTGATATAAAACTATATAATTAAAAAGTGATGTATATGTGAACACGTATACGTGAGTATTTTTTATTTTTATTCTTTTGGTCAAAATTAAAGTGTATTATTACCCTATGAAAAATTACTTAACTAACAATTTCTACCTAGTTAATTTATCATGCTTTGTCTAGAACAAGAAGTACTAGGTAGGGGCAATGCAGTGAGGAAAAGCAAAAGCACATGCAGGAAGGTGTCAATTGGAAGAAACAGAAAAATACAGAAGAAGAACAGAGTTTTGTGAGGCCACTTTCATGCCTTTTGATCGCGTAGGCCCCGACAACAAGGACGGATTCAGCCGTCTATTACCCAACAACCCCCTCCTGTTAAAGCCTGTCCTCTCTGTCTCCTTTCCCTTTCCCTTTCTATATATCATATCACTTCCCTCTAATATTCATCCCTCTTCTTTCTTGTCATTAACCTTAATCTTAAGCTTAACCTTAACCTTAACAAATAAATATTGGATTTATTATTTTTTAAAAAGATGAATTTATCTCCTATACATACATAAATATATAAAATTTATATAGATCTATGTAAAGAGATAAAGCAAAAATATGAATCTCATATGCTTTTGTTATGTAGAGAATAAATTTATCTTTAACAAAATGAAAAATATTAAACTCATAAAATATTATATAGTAAATAGCTAATATTATCATCTTCTTAAAATAGAATTATTGACAATACCCTTTTTTCCTAACACAATCATATTGCCTGTTTCAAGCTTAAGCAAATAAACCTCATTCATTGATTATTATTGTTATTATTACAGTCTAAAGATCATAAATAGAAATTTTCCATTATAAAAAAGTTATTATTTAATTAATCACATAATAAATTCCTTTCCCTTTTTCTCTCTCTTACATTGCATAAGGTGACGACTAGTCATGAGAGTGAGACCAACTTTTATATATTATATATTATATATTATTATAGCTAGCACACCCCCATGATTAAAGAAATACTATAACAACAACATGATCCAGTGATCCACTCTACTCTAAGAAATGTGATTCTCATATTCTCTTACATCCTAAACTCACCTCTATAAATATCACCTCTTACATCCACCATTTCTCACCATCATCAACATTATCACATAACACATTCAACATTCCACACAACACAACTCATTTTTTTCTTTTTTTCTTTCTTTCTTTCTTATCACAGTTCAAACTTCCCAAAAATGCATTACCAAGCCGCATCATGGGGGAGCTACGTGGCACCACCGATAAGCACCATGGTGGTGGGAGACCCACTGGAGCGGATAGAGAGGCTGGCGTCAGAGAACGCGGTGGTGATATTCAGCATAAGCACATGCTGTATGTGCCATGCCATAAAGAGGTTGTTCTGTGGAATGGGGGTGAACCCAACGGTGCATGAGCTAGATGAAGATCCAAGAGGGAAGGATCTTGAAAGAGCTTTGATGAGGCTTTTGGGTTGTTCCTCTGTGGTCCCTGTGGTGTTCATTGGTGGAAAACTTGTGGGTACCATGGACAGAGTCATGGCATGCCATATCAATGGCACTCTTGTCCCTCTCCTCAAAGAAGCAGGTGCTCTTTGGCTTTGATCATGAACGTGCCCTCTTCAATGGAATTCACTAAAAACAAAAAAGTATAAATAAATAGAGAGGAAAAGAGGTTTCATCAAACAGTGTTGTTACTGTTGTTAGTCTTCACTGTTTATTACTATTACTATTGTTACTACTACTACTACCATATAGCAAAGGTAATGGAGGAGGAATAGGAAGTGGTCTTTTGTGAGTCTCTTCCATTCCATTTTGGATACACTACTTAGCTTCTTAATCACTGACTTGTTAATCAATCAATCTTTCTACTTTTCAAGTTATGTTCTTTTTCCCTTCTTTTTTTTTTTTTAATTTTCTTTGGTGGTATTTGGGTTTGTCATGGTTTGCTTGTTTTGAGCTTCCTCCTTTGTAAAGATAAATGGCATTGTTCAAAAAAGAAGAAGAGAGAGAGCTAATTTTACTGTTTATGTCCTAGAATTTTATTTTCTTTTTTATGCTTTCATCATGCTTTTTTTATTACTATGTCTGAAAATGGCAGAAGTTTTTATCTTTATTGGTATTATTTTGGTTAGTGGGCACATGAAAAAGGAAATTGTAGTGTTGTGTTGAAGACAGAACAGTGCAAGAGTTGTGGACGGTGAGAAACGGCGTCGTGTCTGGACAAAGTTGTCGCTTTCGTTGTCCTTGTTCTCATCCCATTGGTTTAGCTTCTTAATACTTGGTGCGTAATGACACCAATGCCCTTTTCATTTTGACCATTTTTTTTTTCTCTGTTTTCAATAGAAAAATAGATGTACCGGAAAACTTCTGATATATAATCGCAGTTTGGTGTGACTTAATAGGATAAAGCCTGATATTATAAGACCTAATATTATAAGACTTGATTGTATAAGACCTGATTAAATTCTAATACTATTCAGTGTTTGAAATGATTTTGTATAAGATAACGTATTGTATAAATTAATACTATCCAGTATTTGGTAATACACTATATAATACTAGATAGGATAAAAATAAATATTTTTGACAAAAATACTCCATAATTCTTCCAAATATATCATATGATATTAATTTTTATAAAAATTTATTATGTCCAAAAAAATAAAATAATTTCTATAGAAATAAAAATCTTCAATATTTTTTAAAAGAAGCTCATGACTACTAAATAAAATTTCTCAATGGTCTTATTCGAGAAACAATGTTGATGCACCATTTCTGTTGTTGGAAAGTTGAATCATCGAATAAGATTAAGTTTTTTTTTGTTCTTTCATATAAATCTTGTGTATTGGTATTCAAATTACCAGAAAATACTCACGGAACATAACGGTATCATAACATAGTTGTAGGCAACTTTAACATATATAAAAATGGCGCATTCCCAGTTTGCTGAGTCCGAAGTAAACAAACATAAAACAAATATATATATATATATATATATATATATATATATATATATATACCCATGAACATCAAAATGGCACATTCCCAGTTTTCTTCTTGCAGCTTCACGAAAATAGCTAACGCCTCTGAAACATTCATATCAAGTTCATCAAAACACATTTCAAAGATTAATTGAAAAATGACAAAAGAGTTGCAAAAACAAAAACAAAAAAAGTGAACCAGCTTGAATATCCGCAAGGGTCTCTCTTCACTGAAACTCTTTAGAACACGACCAAGGTTTTCTTGAAATTAAAAAACAAAAAAAAGTCACACGCAATTGGGGATTTCTGTCGAACAGGTAACAAGCAGAGTGCAACTCACCAAACCTTCACGGATGCGACAGCAACAAGACATTGGAAAGATAAGAACGCGGTGGAATGAAAAAGACATTGGAAGTGGTTCTCTGAATGACGAAGAATGGTGGATATGAAAGTGCCGCCGTGCTCCGGAGACAGCCGCAGACCGATGGTGGTGGATGGAAGGCGAACATAAATGGGGGAAGATAGGGGGTGAAGAAGAAGGGGGTTATTGGGAAAAAGAAAAAATGAGAAATATTACCTAATACATTACTCCCTTATCAGGTCTAATCTCATCTCTCTAGATCTGATTAACTTATATATTATTTTGATACAAGTTTATACTATACGATCGTCACACCAAACAATTGAAAATGTCATAATGTATAATATAAACTTATATTATCAGGTCTTATACATCACAGCAAATAGCCGCCGAGTATATAACCATATATTGTATGGGAAAAGTGTCTATCATTTAAAATTACACAACTTACATCATTTCACTCTCACAAAGAGGCGGGACCCACACCTTTATTTTTTTTGTCAACTCTCTCTCCTACTTTATCTATCTCTTTCTCTCTCTTAAAATGACACAACTTTACATCCTTTAAAATTATACACACTTTTCCCATATTGTATTTGTGATGAGGGATGAGTGATAATGATAAGTGACATGATTAGGTGTATTTTTGTGGAAACGACTTGTCGTCCAGCGACTTGAAAACGGAATGGGCTTTTCAACGTTAAGTGCGTTGCTCAGATTTGAAATGCTTCTGTGTGATGTCATTTATTTGACCTGATGCAGCCACAAGCTGTTAGCCGTACTACATAGCGAGCCAGCTGCTCGTCACTTTGTTAGGTTAACTGCAATGCGACTCATTTATGTAAGGATATAATATGTTTTTCATATATATATATATATATATATATATAGGATTTATCATCTATTATTTAATATGACCACAAAAAGTTTTCTACACACACAATATTTTGTGGGGCCCGCAGCAAAAAAAAAAAACTTCGGCACGCAAAACGAATTTCTATAACATAACACAATCACTTTTCCTACAACATAATCTTATAAAACCCATATATATATATAGGCAAAATGATTTCTGCAGCTGCTGTACCTACAACAAGCAAGGATCCGCGTTCGGATCCTAGGATACGGCAACGGATCCTGAGTTTTTTTTTTAAAGCCGTGGGGCCCACTTTTCTGTGTCAGCTGTAGATAACACTATCTACGGCTGCTGCAGAAATGTTAAGCCCATATATATATATATGAAGTAGGATCCTTTGACACCAAATTTCAATTTTGACACCTTATCTGAGAGCCGTTAGATCAAAAAAGATCAACGACTCTGATTTGCGAGTAACATGTGCCTTTGATCTTTTTTGATCTAACGGCTCTCAGATGAGGTGTCAAAATTGAAATTTGACACCGGTGTCAAAATTAAAATTTGACACCGGTGTCAAAGGATCCTACCTCTATATATATATATATATATATATATATATATATATATATATATAGGTAGGATCCTTTGACACCAGTATATGAAATTTATATTTATTTTTCTCTTCTTTTTACATGACCTTTATATATTTTTATGTATGTATAGGAGATAATTTTTTCTCCTATAATATAACAAACATTAAACCATTTATTTAATTAGCGTAATAGAAAAATCTTGACCATAAATATATTTATAAAAAGTTAAAGTTGGATTGAAAAATATTTTTTAAAGAGTTCAATTGATAGCGTTTCTAAGGCCATAAGGGTATGCCAAATGTGACATTTTTGTGAATGAAAATGCAATTAAGTCCATGTATCAAAGTTTAGATCATTAACTAGGACTTAATTATTTTATACCAGTATTTAGATTTAAGCTCTGAGTTATCCGGTGATTAGAAGAATCAGATATATCTTAATATAGGGTTGCTCTTGTGACAATTGCATGAACCAAGGCCCTTAAGAAACTTCTCTAATACTAAGTGATGATAAAAGGGGGAGGGGGTGTTTAACGGTTAAGGTGGCTCTCCAATTGAACAGAGTAACAGCTCATAAATGTATTCGAACAATACCGTCTTCTGTAATGGAGAGTGTGTATTTATAGATGAGATGAGATTTGACATTTAATGCGATGGGACTTGCATTTAATGCGACGGAGGAGAGTGAGGCTGGATGAGATGGTTTTATCCACCGTCACTTATATTTGCTTTGGTGCAAGGTGCTACCATGCCCACATGCCGTAGAATTGGGGGAAAAGGTACCTACTTCCTCAGAAGGAGAGGTGACTTGTGAGGCTTTAAGTATGGGCTGAGTTATTAGGCCTAAACTTAGGGTCAACCATTTAGGCTGACCAGAACAAGCTCAAAACTCTTGCTTTGTGATTATATATATATATATATATATATATATATATATATATATATATATTCTTTTAAGAAAGCTCTTGTTTTAATACCTAAAATTGTTTTGATAAGATGAAATTGGTTTAAAATATTTTGGAAATAATTTTTGCTTTGAAGCTTTTAAGTTGAATAATCAATTATGCCTATTTAATAATTATTCCATTCGGCAGTTCAGTTAACACTGTCGAGAGGTAAAATAAGGCGGTTCTCATGAATCGCTGGAATAACTGCCTCCAAACAATGTTCTGCGCCTCCAAAACAAATTATGAGACAGTTATATTAACCGCCTCCAAATGACATTTTGAGGCGGTTAATATAACCGCCTCCAAAAGACATTCTGAGACGGTTTGTGACACTGAATAATGGGTTCAAGTTTCCAAAAGGCAGTTAGTTAAACCTCCTCCATAATGATTATGTATAGTACCAAGTTGTGATAAGTCACCTCAATTCTCTTTAAAAAACAATTTTTTTTTTATTATGACACAAACTTTATAGTATTAAATTCAAGTTGATTTGATGGACTCTTGAATAAGTCTCTTGGCGTATACTTATATTCAAGTGTAGGTGTGTCTTAGTGTCTAAGTGTGGGTTCTTATATAGAGGGAAAGGGAAAAGGAGGAGTAAAGGTCATCTAATGTGGGACTTCAAAGTGAAGGTGTGATGATTTTTTTCCAATGTGAAACAGCCATCTTCAGAAATGTATATCTAACACCAAAGGATTCAACTCAAAAATTTGAACGATCAAATTAAAGTATCTTAAGAGAAGAACACACTGATTAAATTTGAGATAATCCAACAGCTGAACAAAGAGATCTCCCTTTTGAATCTCAATGTCTGACAGGTCGTGAACCACTTCTATAACACCTCACATTTCTAAATTATATATTA